CTCCCACTTCGCCTCCACGCCTGACGCTAGAAGCGCTGGTCCCGCAGCAGCGAGTATGTACCGTCGTGAAGTCTGGCCGTCACGCGACGAAGCAGTGGCCTCCTTTAGCCGCAGCCCTTTCTACAAGTCTTGGGATCCTCGTGTGCTGCAGCGATGGATCGACTTTGGTATCAGGGACGTACCTGGCGAACAGAGCGTAACTTTGACCACGACAAAACATCAGGAGATCTTCACTTTTCTGCGCCCAAGTTGGCCAGCCTACGATGCTGAGGGCAAAGATGTGATTCACCCTGAACTTACCCCCGATCTCGATTCCAGCCTCAACCGTCGATGGTCAACATATCCCGTCTATCGTCCCGAGGGACCCAATACCGTTGAGCGACTTCCCAACGTACGACCCAGCGTCCTCTACGTCTTTGGTGGCAAGAGTGATGTTTCACCACCAGAACTTATAGACGAGAAGATGGCGCTTACAGGAACCGGTATTGGTGGCAGCGGTGGCGCGTCCAAGGGCCGAGTCAAGAAGGTTGTCGGAGAGAAGAACGGCCATTTGGTTCCCATGGAAGATCCGCGCTTGTGTGCAAGTGCCGCAGCCGACTGGATCAAGGCTGAGCTCGAGAGGTGGTGGGCAGATGAGCGACAATTTGAAGAGTGGGCGAAGAAGTCTAAAGAAGAGAAGACGACCGTTTCGGAGGAATTTCAGAAGCATATAGGCCAGCCTGCTCGGCGGGCTAAACCTAGCCCAAAGGCAAAGATATAAAGATAAAGCGATATTTGTTTGACAACATATACAGATAATGTGCCAGGCTACAAAAGACTATATATATACCAACGCAGATGTGATTTTGTTCCTTTTAAGCAATTATCATGCTTGACGCTCTATCGCCCTGAGGAGTGCTATCGTGTATCAATTTCCTTGGACTTCAAGCTGGGCTGGTAGTAAGCTATCTTGAAGCCTTTTCGTCTACTTCTTGAAGAAAGTCACATATCTTAGCATCCACTGTCAAACTTAATCGAGATGCACCTCGTGCTTATTTGGAGTATGCATGCTCGCTTTGTTTACTGCCCCCGGTCCCCCGCGATAAGCCGCGATTGGGTTACATCTCTGTCGGCTTTCATATAACTCTTATAAAGATAAGCAACATGCATGATACATCAGCCCCCAATAATTGTTTATTGGAATCATCAATAACCCTCCCTCCTATTCTCAGTTAGAGGAGACCCAAAATTATCTTCGACTCGACCTCAGAGACTTTTTAGAGCTTTGTCGAGCAAACTCAGTCGATGCTGATAACCTTATCCTCAATCTCCGCCCAGCTGGACGAGTAGCGAAGCATGTATCGCGAATATGTTTTTGCCTGAATTTAGGAGGTCAAAGGCAAACAAAAAGTTAAAGTAAAAAAAGATCTTGCATCAGAATCTTCACTACTCTCTTTCTCACCCAGTTCTCATCTCTTCCTCAACACTTGTATCAGCCCAACCATGGCCGTTCCAGGTCTTGAGTCGATGCCTTCGAGGCCGATGACATCGGAGGAGTTCAGCGCCGCGATCATCAAAGCCTGTTACTTGCACGGCGAAGAAGATATCACTGAGATCAAACCGAAAAGAGTCCGGGCGCTGTGTGTATGTTTCGAGGCAGACAAGGATAGTCACCCGAATATCGGAAGCACCAGCGAGCAAGTCCGCGATGTCTTCGACAACACTTATGGTTACGATACTGTCGGTCTCGTCATCAAGAAGCAAGACAAAAACCCGCAAGCAACATTGACATCAGCTCTCCGTGCTCTATTCAACAGAATGGACGAGGATTGTATAGCTATCCTGCACTACATTGGCCACGGAGGGGAAGGCCAAAAGTTCGTCTTCCCTTCACTAAGACATGACAAGATCGACCCTTGGGACGCCAACGTTTTGATCCTATTCGACTGCTGCTGTCCTATTGAGATTGGCGGTTACATAGGTCACCACAAAGAATTGATCTACTCCTACGCTTCGGGGGGAAGCGAGTGCGACGATGGTCTTGGTTGCGAACGCGGCTTCAGTAGAAATCTTGTACGAGAACTGAAGTACGCTCATAGAAATGGCCATGCCTTATCCACATCACAGCTCTACAGCCGCCTGGCAACCAAGAGTTTCGCCGTGGATGAAACTTGGGAAATGGAGCTGGATTCCCTGCCCCATTTCATCCGACACCCTAGAGATCATGGGCCGTCTCTGCTATTGCAACCCTTACGGCAGAACAGAAACTTATACCTGATACCAGCTCCTTGCCAAGAATTGGGTGAAGAGGCAGCAGATGTCGTTTTGTCAGTTCAAATTGCCAATGGTGGGTGGCAAGCATTACACGACATTCAGTCATGGGCACAGAGACATTCATTGACCGAAAGCCGTGTCCGAGTAGATGAGCTATACAAGAGAACGGATAAATTTATCCTCGCCGTAACCTTTCAGGTCTGGTATAACTTACCGGACCATCCAGCCATGAAGCAGATCGGCTTTGAGTTCAGGCGGACGACTGGTCAGTCAGACTGACTCTAAAGACGGACAGAAAAAGCTTCGACTACTGAAGAACGACCCACCGTTGTTGGCCAAAAGACGGCAGCATAACAATTTCTTGACTCTGGAGTGCAATATGCGGAGCTCGACATGGAATGACTGAGACCAGAGCAGAGAATCAGACTAAAGACATCCTTTTTGCAACATACCATGGAACCTCGCTTTGCTCTAGAGACATCACCGAAATGAAGAATATGAAAAATGGGGCACTCGTGCGCATTTCATGAACCAAATTGATGCGGCAAGGCCTGGTTCAGGGATGGGAAAAGCCTGTTGAGCTCCAATTGAAGTTTACGTACCATGCGGGACGTTTATCCACACTCATTTTGAGACGGCCGTTGCTTCTCATGGCACTGGGATACTTTTATCTCTATCCTCATTGCTGGACAGAGATGGGCCACTCTATCAACAGAGTGGAGGAACTACTTACGAGTTTGGGTTGTATGATAGCATCAGAAGAGCGAGGCGAAGATGGGAAAAGAGGGAGATATAATGCAAACGACCGCTAACGACTTGAAACGCCCTGGTGCGCCTCAGTCAGAGGTGATGTTTCACTACATTGAAACGAAGTGTTTATACTTACACACTTGAGGAAAGAAAGTTCTCACTAAATATACGGGTAGTACCAGAGGCATTTAGTGAGGTCAATCACTCCTAAATGTTAAAATTGAGCTTCTCATAATCACCACCGATGGAGTTTAGTTAGGTGATAAATATAGCTAACTAAACTTGAGCCTTTCTAGAGAAGCCACGGTGTTTTTGCCAGTCTTTATATAATTCCGCTCAAGGCGCAGGCTGCCCTTAGTTATCACAGTGACAAGTCAGCATCACAGTAGTTTCTAACGGCCTATTGAAGCTACTTCTAAGACGGCCATTCGCCTGGCCTGGACCATTTCATCTAAAATCTTTCATGCGATCGCCTGCTTGGATTGATACAAGTTTCTGTTCCAAACGTTCTCCGTGAAAGTATAACATATCAGCAGATAGGTTTCTCAGACTGCCTCTAGTGTTGCAAACTCTTTGACCACCTGAGGGACCTCACTTCCAAGAGCTATCCCAATTGACCTTGTAAAGTGCAAGCGTAGTGTAGTGCCTTGGATGGGCTGCAGACAAGGAATTTCTGGTAGTCTTGCCACAGGAGATGCCAACCTCTGACTACGATTCCTCTACACCGTAACAAGATTCTAAGATGAAGCCCTAGAGAAGTCCTTCCTTACTACGTGAAGTATCATAAAAGGATATCCAGACAACTCCATCGCGGCTTTGTTGTCCGTAAACCGATTAATATAAGGATTGTCGTGTAAAACTCCCCAAAATCGATCTCCAGGCATTACTGGGAACAGATGTAGACATTAACGCGGCTCCTTACTAAGATTGATCCAGAATGTCGATGCCGGACTGAGATCTGAATGAGGGTATCTATGAGTTAGGAAAGGGCTTTAAGGTTTTATATTCAAGGTGTTATTTTCTGTAGCTCAATGCAATGCCCTCTATGGTGCCAGACTGGGGTATTGTCTGTACCCAAACACATTTAACGAATTACCCAATAGATGCCCATGTAACCTCATACAACTGATCCCAAGCAGGTGGGCGATATCATTAGCCCCCATTTCTTACTCTGGATAGTATATCACGAAGTTCACTGACAATTGCAGGGGAGCATTTGTCATTCCAGGCGATTCGAGAAGACAAAAAGCAATGTTGTGCTGTTTTGATTTGATTACCATGAAATATCGAAAATGGTGAAGCTCAAGGGAGAAATATGATTCTAAAAGATGTGTTGTGAGCAGAGTGCGCCCAGCCTTTGTCTTCGAGTGCTTTCAATGTCTTGAGGGACAAGAAGAATGAAGCCCATCGAACCATGGCTTGAAGAGATGAACGGAGGATAGGAGATATACCAGTCAGCCTCTGTCAGTTTCATAGACCTCTTTCTTGTAAAGTCAATGGCCTCTCGATCTGAGATCTGACAGTGATTCAGTCATGGGCCGAAAGCATATGGGTCATCGTTTAGTCAGTGAATCACAGTGCCCTAAGGATCCCAAAGATCCTAAAGACTCAAGAGAGATAGCTGTGTGTATTGACACGGACAATTCAGTCGCCCCGCCTATAAATTTCTCACATCATCGCCTCTGAAACCTTTCTTCCTTCAACCAACTTTCCCACCAGTCAACCGACCACCTTCACTTGAGCAAGCATCGCCGCTTTTAATCTCCATTTGGCTTGAATATTACTTCTCATTCCTTCATTTCAGATAAGGTAACTTCAACATACGAAAGCATTTCATCTTCGCTTGAACAAGCAGCCCCAGCCTTATCCTTCGCTTGACCTATATCATATACCCTGATCATACCCAAAGACTCCGCGCTATCTTATATGTTACTACCTCAAAGTCTTTCAGTTCACGTTGCAGACATTCAACAGCCTTGTAGCGCCAGCATATCACGATGGGTTTCAAAGACACGCAAGACTACGAGCGCTACACCTGTCTGACTGGTGGTCGCCCTGATGAAAAGCTACCGCCACTCGACTTCCAGGCTCGTGGTCACTTTCTAATATTCTTTCTCGGAACGAAACTAATCAACACAGAATGGTACTGTCCGCCTCGTCCCTGGCGAGGTCTGGTGCCGATGGCGAGAGGATATCAGCGGGATCCTGTGCGACTCCGTAAGTCTTATCCTCAGAGCATCGTACTTATTCCGAAGGCTAATAAGAGTAGGATGGGTATCATGACGAACGATCCCTACGCAAACACTATGAACGAGCCCATGGCGTAACACTCAGCGAAAAGCATCCCACCGAAGGAGAAAGAAACCAAGGAATGATCTCGAGTAAGAGTCGCCGATTGTCCTTTCAAAGCATTTCATTTGTCTGACATCTCTTGACCTTTGATGGTACACAGACGTTGTGAACGGACGTGAGCCTTCCTGGCCCCGTTCCGTCCAGACTGCTCGACTGTCTACCCATGACCTAGCGTCAGGTTCCGTACATAACCAAGTGGACTACAAGAGTGCAGTCAGACTCGTCCAGCTGTTCAACAAGCATAGCCCAGATATGCCCCCAAAGGTTGGCGAAGAGCTGCGTGACATGCTCGTCAGCGGTGCGTTCCGGCACACGGAAGACTCTTTGGAACAGCCCATCAGGCACCAGCTCAGCAAGGAGATGTTCGATGCTGTCAACAACAAGCCCAAGTGGTTTAATATCACGTACGAACGGTGGTTCATCTTGGTCGGCGTGTATGGTGTCAAGAAACTGCGACAGGAGTGCCAGGGCATTGTCGACGCCGTTCTCACTCGTTGCGGAGAAGAGCTCGATAAGAGCCTGACCTACAAGCGCGGCCCAGACGACAGCAAACCACACGTCACGGCTTTGATCACTCAATTGTCTGACACTGCCGCCAAGCAACAGAAGCTACAGAAGGAAATCGACCACCTCAGATTGGTCGTGGAAGAGTTATCTGCTGCCAGACGTTGAATGGTACGGCAGCCAAAGAGCCAAGAGCTAAGAGTTTATGAAGATGGTAGGCTCTACTAGGAAGGTATATACCGCATACTGGTGTGTGCCAGAGCATAAGGACAAATGGTATAGTGGCCGACAATTACATCACGTTCGACCAATTGATCATGCGGCATAGGAAAAAGGGGTCAGACAATTTTGTTATTAGAGACGAGCCTGCTCTCTGTCAGCTAGTGAAAGTCAATAGGTTCACAGAGTTTATGAAGCCAAATTCCATTCTACTGCGTCAAATCGCAAAGTTTCCGTATCATCTTTTGCAAGATCCGTCCGTGGTGTTGTCTGTAGCATTGTCCGTACTGCGATTGACCAGGAGCACATATAGAGGTCACTTATGAATTGAAAATTCTTGATTTGAGAATAATGGCCCAATGTCCGCTTCAATTCCATTCGGCACGATCTGAGAGGAGTAGAGACGATTAAAATCTGATCTTTCCATCTGTAGCTTATTGAAATATTTGCGGGTGAAGTGTTTGTCCCATGTTCCTTTGCAGACGCTGAATTCTCTGCAACATTCTGATCAGAAAGCCACGAGAACGGAGAGCCTAGAAACCCGTCACGCTCACTGAATATCGTGTTGAATAATCTATCTTCTATCTCTTGTGGGTGAGGTTGGCTTGTATCGTACCTAGTGTAGGATTGATGCCGTGCATCATACTCTCACCAAGCACGGACAATGTTCCCACTATCCATCACGAGACCACAATGAGAACAACATAACATTTAGAACATGGGGTTATTGTTTGTTTCCGGTTCCCATTATGCAAAACCACCTTTGTCCCAGATCACCAGTGTCCTTCGTCCCCAAGTGTCAAAGCACAAGACTGATATACGCTGGCTAGTTCGAATTATCCAATAATTGATCCAGAAAGCCTTATGGGAGCCCAGGCGGTAGAACTGAGACATGATAGTCAAGGAAAAGCAGATTGATTAGGCTTTAGAGATACTTACTCTACTGGTGGAATTCATCTTAGCTGTAATCCATAGCCTTGCCTTTATCTGATTCGATGTTGGCCGCGCCGAAGTTGTCCAAGGAATTACTGTCTGTAGTGAAAGAGAGGCCGCTGTCTGGGTCGATGTCCTGCTCTTCTTCCTCCTCATCGCTCGAGAGATCCATCAAGTCATAATCCGTGCCAGAAGAGCCAGAACTTGTCGAGATGTTATCCTCATCAATGACCCTTTGGAAAATGACCAGTTGAGTCTCCAAATCTTCATTCTCCCTGCCCTGGTCCTTGAGCTCCCTTTCCTGTTTCGAGACTTGAGCCTTCAACTCGCCAATCTCATACGCTTGATCATCAATGGTACTGTGGGAGACATGTCGCTCATACTTGAGATCTTGGATTTGTTTCCCTTGCCGACCGATCTTAGAGTTGAGGTCGCGGATATTAATGGCTTGATCATCGATAAGATTCTTTAGAATATCGGCGTCATTGTCCTGTTTCGCAAGACGAGCTTGAAGGTCTTCCTTTTCTGCATTCAGCTGGGCGATGCGTCTTTCAACTTGGCGATGATCTCATCCTTAGCCCTCAAAATGTCGTGGAGGTCGGAAAGAGCCTGGTAAAGAGTGATCCGAACTCCAGCTTCTGGGGTGGAAGGCATATCGAGCGATTGTCTGCCATGGTCAGCTTCCTCATGAGACGGACAATGGAGGAAGAAGCTTGGACGAACTGAGTATAAGAGTGCTTGTAGATGGATGAAAAAATAGCCTTGATTTGATGTAAAGAATCCAAGCTCTCAGTCAAGTTTAGCGAAGCTAAAGTGCCGTTGGAGTGATGAAGCTTAGTAATAGGTTTATACGGAAAGAGTGTTGATCGAGGATAAAAGAAAGAGGAGAAGAAAACTGGAAGACTGGCTTGCTTTTCATGTATGTAGACTATTGTAGAGTAGGCTTGGACGCTGCCAGCTGCAGAAGCAGGAGCTTCAGGCTGGGCAGTGACAATGACCGTCAATGGTTGCGAATCATGAAGCGTCAAGGACCTGTGACTCAATGTAACGAAACAGACAACGGGATCTTAGGGTCTCAGACAATATCATTGAACGAAAGTCTATTCTATCAGCAAACTACTTACCACTAACAGACATCACCGGGGTTTGACAGTATGCTACCAGCGCTATAGCAACGCTATCGCTGTCAGAATACAAATCCTTCATTCTCTCGTCTAAATCGCGTTGTGGATGGTTGTAACTCAAGGAATAAACATTTTACCTTCAATGCCGTCCTCGTTAACCTAGAGTAGCAATATGTTGCGAGTTTGCTCGCGCTGTTTCAGTCGACCGATGCTGCCAGTGACCAGGCTGTCACGAAGTAGGTTACGGACAATTCCAAAAGTTGTAGACAAATCAACAACGGGCGTGAATCACAGAGCTAGAGAAGACCTGGGACTTCGTTTCTGGGTCTCGGATAACAGACAAAAGTAAGAAAAAAACGAGAGTCTACAATAAAAATCTAGACAGATTTATCCCTATTGGTTTGTCTTTGCTGCTCTTCTAAACCCAATGAAATATTCTTATGGCTCTCTCGTAATCGTTCATACCTCAAAAATTTCTTCTTTTATTCTTAAGTCCCGCCTGTTGATATCTTCACTCACCTTGTACTCTTCCCCTACCCCGGGCGCTACATATATTTGTCCTTGATATCCTACATCCCCTTTCGAGAGGTTCTCTCACATCCTCGGCCCCAATCTCCCACCGTCTAGATTTATGGCAAACGTCCAATCAAGCATAGGATTTGTCCGTAACTATCATTTGGCGACAGGGTTGACTCGTTGAGGCTGAACCACTGGCTGCCTATAATGCTTCGACGATGCTCTAAATTAGACATTTTGAAGATGAAGTGTAGAGGACTTATCGCAATTTGATTAGAAAGCATAACTCTGTTGGCTATCCAGGCTTTTAGGAGATTTCCTACCAGTGGTTACCTGGAGTTGATGGACAAGTCGGTGTTTGTTAACAAACAACTTTGACCTGTCTTTATCGTGCTACCAGAGCCTCGCAATCCTTTCTCTTGATAACAAAAAGCACCCTAGACTTTGAAGTGGGTATGTGATCATAAGGCTCTTCTAAATCTATCCTCAGCTTACCAAAACTGTCCGAAGGTTGCTAAAGCTATCCTAAATTTACCTAAGATATCCTAAATCTACCTCATTATTTCAATCACTCTCGATACCCTGGCGTGAATACCTTCAGTTTTACGACCATCACTGGATGTTCTCTATGCCTCGGATCTTACGCAGGATCCCAAGTAAGAGTCAAGAACTCTTCTTATGTGGATTATGAGCTCCCTCCAGGGTCTGTGTCAAATATTCATATCACGTACATCGAATCATTTCAGCTGCAGTCCTTATTGTAGCTTCTCCTGAACTCTTCAGAGGGCACTTGTGTTTCTTTGCAATAGTAAATACCAGACCACTCCTTCTGAATTATCTCTCTCCTGTCTTTGATCAGTCGTGGAGGAAACCTAGGAATGCGACTGACTTCCCCGCAAGTTGAGGGTCACTACCTAGCCGGAACAAGAGTGTGAATGTATCACATATGTCAATTCTGAGCAACAGCTCTCAATACCAAATACTAACAAATCCTTTCAGAGACTTGCAGTCAACCTTGGCTTGCTTGCCAGTTATTTTGGCGAATGACATATGGGGGTTGGCAATACTAGAGATGTAAGTGAGAAAGCCTAGAACTTGAATGGCCTCACGACTTGTTCACCCTTGATGTTCATAGCTCCCCAACTTTGAACGGGCCAAGTTTCCGTATTGTGTAGCTCGTAAAAAAACAATACCTCTTAAGGAGGCATTTTTACTTCAGTTGTGAGATTGGGTATAAGATGTGATACCACTTTGCCTTATTATCTATATCCGATACCACTATTCTGTTGCTTAAACGCCAATATCTTCTTCTCTGAGGATTATAATTCATTCTTCAATCCCCAGAATCATCGTTGCGTTTACCTGACCGCGTCAGCGGATTTACTCTTCATGTCTCAGTAACAAACAAGCATGACATTGCGGTACAATTTGATCACAACAAACCTTCCGACCTTCAACCCACAAGCCGAATATTAGTCTAAAGGTCTACTAGATCTACACTAGTTAAAGTATACTAAGTCTTTCTGCCATTTAGGATAAATATCGTAAGCTTTCTAGCGTCTCTAGTCTTTATAGATCAATTGTCAGAATGCGACCATACGTAACATAGTCCAAAGTATAACCGAATAAATTAGAGGTCCGGCGGGGGATGCCTAGCATGTGGTTCCCCTCACGAACGCTGTCAATCGATTTGATGCCCGACTGGAGGACTTCATTACTCCGGCGGGGAAGCGATTGGCTTACACGACATGACGATCACCAGTTGAGATACTTATTACATGAAAGCAGAATGAGAATGAGGAACTCAAAGATTTTTGAAACATAGAATTCATCAGTTTTCTTTTCTCCTCACTCTCATCTCAAGGCAGTATCATTCTCCTGCTATCTGAAGGCTGGAAATCATCATGTTCTTTAACGACAAGACTCGCCTCCGCTACAAGTATGATGCCGAGGAACTCTGGATTGAGCCATGGGGTCCAAATGCATTCCGTGTGAGGGCGACCAAAGCTTCTGTGATGCCATCGCAAGATTGGGCCCTTCAGAAGCTTGCAGAAGTGACGCCTGAAATCTCTATTTCTGAGGAGTCTGCGTCCATCAAGAATGGCAACATCAAAGCCCGCATCTCCCGCCAAGGCAAATTGGTCATTGAGAAAGCAGACGGAAAACTAATTCTGGAAGAATACTCTCGTCATAGACGGGATCTTCTCGATCCAAAATGTAGTGCTCTGGAAGTGGAGGCTCGCGAGTTCAAAGGAATACTGGGAACGGACAACTATCACCTCACAATGCGTCTTGAGAGTGTCAGTCCAGATGAGAAGATTTTTGGAATGGGCCAGTATCAGCAGCCTTGGCTTGACCTGAAGGGACTCGATCTTGAGCTTGCACACCGCAACTCTCAAGCCAGCGTTCCCTTTGCCGTGTCCTCACTTGGATATGGACTCTTGTGGAACAACCCCGCGATAGGAAGGGCCGTGTTTGGCAAGAACATCATGAGCTTCGAAGCATTCTCAACTCAAATCCTTGACTATTGGATTGTCGCAGGGGACACACCAGCTAAGATTGTGGAAGCATACGCAGATGCTACTGGCAAAGTTCCCATTATGCCTGAGTATGGACTTGGGTTTTGGCAGTGTAAGCTCCGATACCAAACGCAAGAGGAGCTCCTGGAGGTGGCTAGGGAATACAAACGCCGAGAAATTCCAATTGATCTCATAGTCATTGATTTCTTCCATTGGCCCAAGCAAGGAGATTGGAAATTTGACTCAGACTACTGGCCTGACCCTGGTGAGTCCAACTTCAGATACAGAAGAAGATTGCTAACAGCTATCAGATGCCATGGTGAAAGAGCTCACGGATCTCGGAATCGAGCTAATGGTTTCTATCTGGCCAACTGTTGATAAAACAGCTGAAAATTACCAGTACATGCTGGAGCATGGATACTTGATCCGAACTGATAGAGGTGTCCGTATCGGCCTCGACTTCCAGGGTCAGACGGTACATATTGACACCACAAACCCAGACGCAAGGAAATATATATGGGACACAGTAAACAAGAACTACTACTCCAAAGGCATCAAGACGTTCTGGCTCGATGAAGCAGAACCGGAATATGCAGCATACGACTTTGACAACTATCGATACTGGCTAGGCTCCAACGGGACGATCGGAAATATCTATCCCGTCAACTACGCCCAAGCCTTTTATGAAGGCCAAGAAGCAGCGGGCCAGAAAAACATCGTCAATCTCCTTCGCTGTGCTTGGGCTGGCAGCCAAAAGTACGGCGCTCTTGTGTGGAGTGGAGATATTGCTTCTTCATGGTCTAGCTTCCACAACCAGCTATGCGCTGGCCTCAACATGGGTCTTTCGGGCATACCCTGGTGGACCACAGATATCGGCGGATTTCATGGCGGCGACCCCAACGATGAAGGCTTCAGAGAGCTCTTTGTGCGGTGGTTCCAGTGGGGTGCATTCTGCCCTGTTATGAGACTCCATGGTGATCGTGAGCCTCAACAACCACAGCAAGGAACGACCGGTGGTGCAACATGTCGCAGTGGAGCACCTAACGAGGTCTGGTATTATGGCCCTCAAGTTTATGATATCTGTGTCAAGTATATCAAGATCAGGGAGGACCTTCGACCGTATACTCGAAAGCTTATGAAAGAAGCACATGAAAAGGGAACACCAGTCATGCGGCCTCTGTTCTATGAGTTCCCTGACGATAAGAAGGCCTGGGACATTTCGACTCAGTACCTCTATGGCGACAAGTATCTGGTCTGTCCTGTATTGAAACAAGGTCAAACCAAGACGGAGGTCTACCTACCCAAGCTCTCAAATGGAGAAAAGTGGTCTTCTTTCAACAGTGATGATTCTTACGAATCCGGAACAACGGTCACTGTTGACTGTCCTTTGACTCAAATGCCAGTCTTTGTTCGAGGAGCATGAGACTTTCGGATCGCTGGGAATCCATGGTACGTAGAGCCCTCTGATATAGCGGGCATCTCAATATGACAAGAGAAAGTTGAGAGGAAAGTTATTAGAATACACGCGTTCCGCTTGCACGACCATTTTCTTGTGCAGTGGTACCATGTAACAGACTTGTCAAACCCATAACATAGGAAATTTCGATCCCCCATTCCTTGTTTTTGGCTCTTGCATGTGATAACATCCTTATACCTTCTTTGAGAATCTTCGGTGGAGCATTGGGGCTGCAGATATTGCCAACTCGGTGTAAGTGGCCAGCCATCTTATGCCCTAGACGTATGTATACTTGAACCATTTCATCATCACAAGGTCGATCAAGATGAATAAACGTCGGATCTGGCTCCTCCTCGCTCTCTACCTCATTATTTCCAACCGATCCCTGCGATTCACGATCCCCAGAAGCTGGCACCGACCTTGATACTTCATCATCACGTTGTTGCTGGGACTCAGTCCTAGGGGTATTGAACACGCTGTAAGCCCATATCGAAAGGGTAGCAAGGTAAATAGCGTGGGGCTCTATGAAGTCGTTGCTACTATATCGACGGACATGCCACAACAAAGCGCCAGCATGTATTATGGACAGTCTTGCCTTATACTGGTCGATGTTGGCCCAACGTTGAATGTGATTACACGCTTCCGAGTATTCCATATTGTTCTGAAGTTTGCTGCCATTTTGTCGTAGGACTGCAGATGCAGCGACCCTCTGGAAATGCTTCGTAGGTGTCAAGATATATAACCGGGAAAGGTGGAGGTGAAGAATCGTCGGGTGCTCTGTCCCACCAGCATTAGCCGCTTTGCCGTTCGCTTTCCAATGCAAGATATCAAAGGCGTCGCAGGCACTGTTTCTCCATCTTGTGACCATTTCAAGAGTTGGTGGCCACGTTTCAGTTACGCAAACAGATTCCTTACGTGGCTCAACATGAGCAACTGGAGTCCATCGTGACAAAGCCGTTCCATACTGGTAGGCTGCTTCCTTGGTCCTCGCACACACTGCGTATATTAAGACGATGTTTCCAAACTCCGTTAAGTTGGATGGTTGCCGCTTTTCCATGTAAAGAAGATGAAGTGCCTCGAGTACCGTGACTACCCGAAAGTTCTAAAGTCAGTATAAGCCAGATGTCGTTCGCCTGGAAGTCAAAATACAAACCCTGATGCGCGTCTCTACTGTGTATTTGTTCAATGGTTGGCTGATTCCATATCGACTCTCGGCATGGAAGTCTTGCTTTCAGCTCGTGTACTTTCAATACTTGAGGACAGTTAAATTCGGAGGAAACGATCGTGTCAAGGATCTAGATAACCATGAGAACGTGCCTCTGAAGAGTAGGGCTAAACTTACCCATATCATAAAGCCGGTGCGCAACTTTGACTGAGTTTGCATCCATGACGTGACAGCTATGTCACCATCTTGAACTGGCGTGTCAGTAGTTTGTGGTGAGGTCTGTGAAAGTAGATCCATTTTCCTGCATTCTTCTACGAGAGCGAGCCTTTGATGCAGAGCCCAGTCCATCACGAGTTCTTGGCCACTATGAATTCGAGAGATTATGTTCAGAATAGACGCTTGAAGTGTTTGGAGGTCCATCCGGCCATGCGATTGGAAGTTGCCTGGCACCCAAATCCCCTTTGCACTACCGGTGTTTTCTTTGATTATGGAGTCAACCCTGTGCCTCAAGCACTTGTCTAGAAGTTCTGACATAATCGATGACCACCTACTCCCAGCATATCGAGCGCCAGTGGTTGCTACAGCCAGTAACAGGATCCAGTTGTCTGAGATTTGCCAGACGGAGGAGTTTTTTTGTATAAACGGATAGGTCGGGTGAAAGCATTGGTAATAAATCAGCACAAAGGCCCTAATGTTCTCCAGAGGGGGGATCTGAACGTCTAAATCAAGTGACGAATCGATCCCAATATCATTCTGAATCACAGACGATAGTTTGGAATAGAGAGCCTCTGGTACAGACATGTTATCAGATGATTCTCGCATACTCGCTACTAAGGATTTTAGATAACTGTAGTCTGGCCCATCTGCTTCGGGGAGGCGAGGGTCCTGTTCAGGGCGAGTGCTCTGTAAGTTCGTTTGCTGGGGGAGTAGTTGACCACGAAACGGGGCCCTAGCTGCTGTCCCATCCACGTAGAGGGCTCCATTGCTTGAGGATGATGCATTCGAACCGTTAATACTACTTGCATGTTCGTCGTAAGGGCTTTCCACAACTGTTGGGTAGTATGTCTGATCCAGTTCGATGGCTGGTGTTTCCATTGGGCCAGTGATGCTCATATTGACGTCCAGGGGCTGTTCTGGGACCCAAGAAGAGACAGAATTAGGCCCGATTAATTCAGAGGGAAATGTGTATGCCATTGAACCAAGGCCTTCGGGGATAATCGGCAATTGATTCTCCCACAATGAAGCAAATTGACTGTCCGAGAGCCAATTGATATTGGGGATAGCCGTAGTGAGATCCGGTACTTCTTGAAAGCTTCCCATGTCATCGAGTTGGAGCATTGGGTTCATTGGTTGTGGTGCAACAGCAATTGATTCATCATTAGGTGGCCAAGTTCCATCTGCTGGAGGAACCGTGAAAGCGTTGGAACCATTGATGTTCCAAGAAAGGTTGTTGGCATCATTGATTACGCTATTGTTCATAGCCAACTCTGTTTCTCTTGGCTCAGCGTCCACGGGCTCTGTGTCTGCTGGCTCTGTATCCACAGGTTCCGTTTCCACAGACTCGGTTCCCAATGGCTCTGTTTCCACTGGTGCCGTTGCCAATAGCTCTGGTGCCTGGATACCATCTTCGCCCTCCGCATCTTCGTTCGAGCTTTTTGCGGGTAGTGGTTTGGGTGATTGAAGATTTGAATCCTTCTTCTTCCTTGCCCTCCTCTTCTTCCCCTTCTGGGGCTGTGTCCTGGGCTCAGGGTAGACGCAAACAAAACGCCTTTTTTTACATCTTGTGCATGGCGCGTCTCTTGAGCAGCGCATGCGGGCAAACGCACATTCTGTGCATGCTCTAAGTGACACTGTTTCGACTGGTGTTAAGGGATTTGTGCGTGTGTGTGTGAGTTCGTGTCTCTGGAGAACATCTAGGCGTGCAAAAGATTTATTGCATTTCGTACAGATAAATGGCTTCTCATGGGTATGGACTCTCAGATGGCGATTTAGATGTTCCTGGCGTGTGAAGCTGCGCCTACAGAGGTGACACTGCACGGCTTCTGCCTCGCCATCGTTGTCCATTGGCCTATTGTCACCATCGTTCTGCATCTTGCTATACACTTACGACGCTGCGATGAGGATTATTCGTGAATCATTTTCTCATGATGGGTGTCGTTGGATAGGTAGTTGAGAGCTTCGAGGATGTCGCAGTGCGGAGTAAGACAAGCGAAGGTGGCGGGATGGATCTTTCTTGTTCCGCATTGATGACCTGACTTTCCGTTTTCTTCGAAATGCATCATCAACGAATGAGCAGATGGAAGGAGCTGGCTCGCTATAGTAACATCCATATTTTCTTATCTTGAGCCGACCTACATGTGTTGATGTAACTACAGGGCACCTTCCTGAGGTTGACCTTGCCGGTCTCAATTCAATCAATTCCGATACCTCAAGTACGACTCCATCAGATATCATTTCTTCTACTTCACTTCCACCAATCACAATCCCCAAAGATATCCGACATTTGCTATAACAAAAGAAACATCTTATAAACAACACGTTTGATCACAATTCCCGGATCAAAGTTCCCGGCAGGCATTCACTCATGCGCGTAATCCGGGATCAACCCGGACATGCAGGCTGAGGTCCTCATCGAGGTTACAGCAATGCAGTCCGCTATTTAGCCAAATACGAGGCTGAATGTCGTCAAAGTTTCAGTGACATTGACAAAAGTGTCTCCCCTCCCCCGCCGGAGCTTCAACAGAAGTGCAGCTCCGGCGGGGGGGATCAGAACACCACGAGATCCGTACCCATCTATGCCCCCACTGGAACCCCATACTCTTCAACGCGAGCTAGGACAATAAGCTTTCGGAGACCCTTGGCAGAATATCCCCCAGATTCTTCCCCACAATCCCCGGTTGATCATCAAGAAACCGGGATTTTCGTAGACAATATGGGACGACGCGCCGGGGATTCGTCAGGCGACCAACGTCTGTGGTCTTCGTTGTTTCCCTATAAATGAAGCTCATGCCGCCGATCCTGCAGTCAATGTCGTCTTATCCTGGCCTCAGGTACATACAGGCCTCCATTGCATATTTTCCTGCATCATGGCTGCTATCACAGACGACAAGGTAGCTAGGGTCAGCGAAGATGACCATGCGCCAAATTATGATACGGTCAAAGACGCATCCATCGCAAAGCAAGCTGCAGAAGAGGAACACAACCTTACATTGCTGCAAGCCATTCGGAAATATCCCAAGGCCGTCATGTGGTCGGTCCTTCTCTCGACCTCGATCATCATGGAGGGTTACGATATCGTTCTTATCTCATCCTTCTTCGCCCAACCATCTTTCCGAGAGCATTATGGAAGCTACCAGCCCAAAAGCAACTCCTGGCAAATCACAGCCTCCTGGCAGAATGCACTCTCGAATGCCGTGAGCGTCGGTACCATTATTGGCGCGTTTGCCAATGGTTACTTCACATATAAGTTCGGCTACCGCAAAGTACTTCTTACTTCCCTGGTTGCCATATGTGGTTGCATCTTTATCTCGTTCTTCTCACCGAATCTTCCTGTTCTTCTTGTTGGCCAGTTCCTTTGTGGCATCCCATGGGGCGTTTTTGCCACTATGGCTCCTGCATATGCATCGGAGGTCTGCCCCATGGCATTAAGAGGATACCTGACTGTCTATGTCAACCTTTGTTGGGCCATAGGACAGCTGATTTCGGCTGGAGTACAAGCCGGCTTCTCGAATACGACCGGGCACTGGTCCTACCGAATCCCTTTCGCAATCCAATGGGTATGGCCTGTCCCTTTGTTCATCGTTCTTTTCTTCGCCCCCGAGTCCCCGTGGTACTACGTCCGGATCGGCGATTACGAAAACGCTGAGAAATCAATCACCCGGCTAAGTTCCTCAACAACTCCTGGTCATGCAAAGCAGGCCCTTGCCATGATGATACATACCAATGAGATTGAAAAGTCCATCGACCAAGGTACTTCGTATCTGGATTGCTTCCGTGGGGTTGACCGACGCAGAACCGAGATTGCCTGTATGGCCTTTGCTGCCCAGCCTTTCTGTGGATCTTCCATGGGTGGTACTCCGACTTTCTTTTTCGTGCAGGCTGGCTTGCCTGAGTCGATTTCTTTCAGAATGTCGGTTGGTGGTCTTGGGATTGCGTCTGTGGGCACAATCATATCATGGTGGCTGCTCCCCCTTGGTCGACGTACATTGTATCTTTGGGGGCTTGGATTGCTCACGGCTGTGCTAATGATTGTTGGATTCATCAGCGTCGGTGCTGGGGATTCCCAGGGAGGAAACTACGCGCAAGCCAGCATGATGCTCATATGGTTGGGAGTGTATTACATGACTGTTGGACCTGTTTGTTACGCAATCATCTCGGAAGTTTCTTCAACCAGACTGAGAAACAAGTCTGTTTGTGTCAGCCGAATTGCCTATTACATTGCTCAGATCATCTGCAATGTCGTCAACCCTTATATGCTCAACCCGACAGCAGGAAACTGGCGTGGCAAGACTGGCTTTTTCTGGGGAGGTTGCTCTTTTGTCTTTTTCATTTGGACCTTTTTCCGTCTTCCTGAAACCAAGAACAAGACATTTGAAGAGCTTGATCTTTTGTTTGCTAATAATGTAGCAACCCGCGAGTTTGTCAAGTACAAGGTGGATGCCTATGCTGAGGATGACAATGTCTTGACTGTTCAAGATACCAGTCAGCGTTGATCATCACAATGTTTGATCTTCTCATTTGTCCAGTATTTTCACGGAGAGAGATCCATCAGACAGGTGCATCGAAGGAAACTTTTTGGTTCGGATTTAATCAGTTGGGATATCAGTCTTGTCAATAGCACCTGAAAAAGGCAGCAGGCCGACGTCTATTTAGGTTGAATACTTGTTCTCCCTCATAACCTTACGAATATGAGATATGCAGCTTCGTGAGCCATATTTGGATATCAATGCTTGCGAATAAAGGTGACGCCGGCGACGAAAGCGAAGGGGGGATGCAAATTTCTCATGGAATGCCCGACACAGCTTGTAATGTTTGCAAACTATTTGCATACGTATTGCTTGCCAGCCTTTACCATTCCCCTTCGCAAGCTGAAGATTCTGGTATTTTCTTCACTAGCTCGCATGCCTCTTTCCCCTGTTTCTTATTTACTATAAATATGTCCTCTCTATTCATACTATTCAAGGCTTCTTGTTCATATTATCATATAGCCATATATTATTTGATGCCAGATACAGCGAACAAGGCAGAGATTCTTGTCCAAGTATGGGCAGATGTGAAGATCGCGAGTCGCCCTGTGCTATATCAGTAAGGACCGCAAAGATGTGTCAAGTCACTGAATGCTGACGTATAAAAAAGTCCCACAAGACCTCTCGAGGAGCCTGCGACAGCAGTTCTCTCGGTGTCCCCAGAGCCATACGGCTCTCCTCTGGCTTCAGGCATGGATCCGATGCTGTGTTTGCCAGACATTGGCGGTTCAAGAAGCAAGCCCTTTCCACACCGGTCTTCTGTCACATATATTTCGGTCCGAGAACATCGCGAGTTCCGGGGGCCTAGGGTTTAATAAGTTGTTCTTTAGAGTTGGTCAGAATCAGCCAACTTTATGATAACCCCATTTGCAAGAGTGTCGATACATATAACACGAGAAATTCCCATATATAGATATGTAGAGTATTAGCGAGAGTAGGTCCCCTATCAAACTCTCATCTGGCCCCTCGACTTTTCTGTCGCTAATGCTGTATACACAGAAGAGGCCTTTAGAACCTATTGACAAGGAATGCATTACTCTGGTCAGTTCCTGGGGGTACTAAGAACATTCTCACATTCGAAGGCCAAGCTACATTTTGAAAAGTCCCTTCGGTACCGGATCAAAGTGGTCTGTAATGGTATCCTGCACGAAATCCTCAGCCTGCAGAATATCATCATGGACATCCAAGCGAGTCCGAATTTATATTCAACTTTAGAGAAATTCACCCACTTAGTATGCGACAACTGTACGCCAAGATTGACATGCCTTGCCAGGAGAGTCGCCAAACTTTCCAACATCTTAGCTGAGGACATAACGAGTCAGCGCGAAGTCAGAGATCACGATGGTTTCATCCCAGCCGCGATGTTGATGAGTGGGGATGGTCTGCCTCACAATACTCACATGGATACAGACCCAATGACGAACAATTTCTTCCTCTATCTCCTCAACTATATAACAACAACTTTTGTAGCGTCTCTGTGGCGTTTCACTATGACGGCCACCTTGTCCATGCCACAGAGTGCAACGCATTCCTCATTGCTGGCCACATTGAGGTTCCACACCCTGAGCCGGTCGTAGGCTACCACTCCTACAATGTGGACGAGGACCGTTGCGTGCATTCAAGTCCCAGATCGGCCCCCAGGTACCTGGAACCTTTGCCATGGAGTTATCACCATGACTCTCACACGAGGTTAAACAGGTGGACGAAGCGTTAGGGCCTCGCAGGCCTTTCCGCGAAACGACCAGAGTCGCAAGAGCATTCCATCGTGTATTCTCAACACGAATCATTGGTAGCCAGAGGCAAAGGCGACTGTAGACGTCTTGTTATATTTCGCAGGAGCAGTACCCGTCGGTTCTCTGGATATTTGCGAGAGGGCTCTCTGGATTACCTCTCCTCGCGGTCGCAATACCGAAGGATCCATCCCGAAACTATTGACACTCCTAGCATGAAGCCAATGTCCCCCATCGGAGATCGGGATTATAAACATGTGCTGCAGATGCTGGGATCAAGGACGTTGATCCGGGGGAATCGTTTAGATGTTCTCGACTGGACAGAAACCACCCCCGATTTCAGTGCCGATTCTGTAAGCGGAACCGTCACTGGTTTTCTGAGGAATGCCAGGCAGAAAGGAATAATACAGAGGTTTATCGCCCAGGAGCACAGCATGACCAAGGTATAATGCCCATTGGTCCGCCCTGTTAGCCGTGAACTTTCGATTTGACGAAAACACGATGAATGCCAATGCACCAGGCTCAATGGTTTAGAAAACCAAAGACGATACAGACTTTATATATATATTGGCTGCTACTTATACAAAGCAACAAGAGCGTGGCAGCTGTTGGCAGCTGCCAAATAATGCCTCTCTGAATCACAGCACTGACTGATAGCCCTAGACTGATAGACTAACTTTTCTTTTCTCCTCCATTCTTGATCAACTCATCTACCTTTTACTCTACTCTGCTTTAACACTCAGAGCACTGGGCCAAAACCACGTTTCATCAACACAACTTTCTAGCCATAGCAATCAAAACGTGAATTTCATTCTATTAGCATCTGCTCTTACGTCTTATCTCATTTCAGACCTGACTTCACCTTAAGATGGATGATGCGGGCTCGCCAGTGCCTCAGATCGAGGAGCACATCGGAGGTCTGCTCCCCCAGACCACGAGAAAGCTCAAGCAACCCAAAAAGCGGGTTTGGTTGCCGACAAGTCAGTATGGGACATTCATTTCGTTGTCGCAATCACTAATTTGAATGCGCAGGTGCTCGAATGATAGCAGCAAGGGAAGATCACATCAAGCCTTCGTTTCCTTCCGACGGGCTTGTTCGGCTCGTCGACGATATCATGTCGGGACTAGGCCATGTTCCTCCTCTGCACATGACACGATCGGCGTGAGGACCCTGCAGGTCTGTACCGAAGACTTCTTGGTAGAAGCCTTCACTAGTATGTCTCGGAGTTGTCAACTTCCTTTCTGTACTGATGACCTCTTAGCATGGACCAGAAGCTCCAAACGAGCAGAGATGACAGAAGACGATGCCGAAGCTTTCAGGGATATTGTGAAAAGACTTCAAGATTATACACTGCTCAAGTCCAAAAGGGTATCCGACAACCGCAACAAAGGTTGTCCCAGTGCCCCTTCGACGTTGTGCCGCGACAGCACACCTGACCGCCGCGTCTTTTCAGAGTCCCGGACTCTGAAAAAGGAGAGAAGGAAGCGAAAGCTCTTGCGACGCGCTGGATTCCTTTGCACCCTAGCAAGTAAGCAGTTGTACACTCCTACTATAAAAGTATAGTGTTGCTAACAAAGGAACAGATGCCGATCGTCGAGATGAACAACTCAAGGGTGCCAAACAACCTACCGAATGTGCTCAGAGCGGACAATTGACCTGTTGTCCCCACGGACTGCCGATGCAGACAATTCAAGACGATGACACCAAGAAATCGACAAATGACTGCCTCTGCAGTGACTATGAGATGTCCGACTCCAATGACGAACCGCCGATGGAGATTAGTCAAGACAGGGATGGCGTTCCTCGATCTGTGACACTGGCGACCCATCAGGAAAATTAGATATTGATAAGATGAAATCCACGTATTGAAAGTAAGGAGTTGTGAGATAGGAGCAAGCTCTGATCATGAAGAGTGGAGTTAGATCTGAAGAGTCTGGAGTTTTTATTCAGATATCTAAATTAAAATGTGGCATAACTTCTGAATTTCAGCGTGATTCACTCGCAGTACCGTAGGCTACCGAATTTCAGCGCAACCATCCTATTCTCCCTTCGATCTTTCTCAACCCTCAAAACTCTTCTCCTCCACTTCAAACCCCTTCTCCTCCATCACCAATATATTCTCATTGCACCACCTTGGGCACTCGTAATGATGGCGCCACGCAAACGAGGTAGAAAACACGCGATGCAGTCTGTTCTTTGACATTAAAATATTTAAGGTCGCCCACCTGGCTCAGGTGTGGGAAAGCGGAAAGCCCAGGAACAGCTTTCTGACATAATGAGTGCGAAGCAGGCGAGGAGGTATCGCGCCAGCTATCGAAGGAAAAGGCAACGAGGAACAGAAACGTGAATGCCTATCGCAAAGCCATTACTCGTCAACAGAGGAATTTTGACAAGCTGCCGACAACCGAGGCATATCAGAATGCTCACCAGTTGGAGGAGGATAAGATGTCGAACGATCACCGCCGGCACATCGACAAAATTGACCAAAATTAGTGAGTGTTTGTGATCGCTCCTCTGCTTGGCGTCTACCTAATCTGTCTCAGTCACGATGAGGGAGACACCCAGACCAACAGGGCGGAGGGATAACGGGAGCAGGCAACTTCGGACTCAACATATCCTCCACCAACGACAGAGCTTCGGGCTTGGAGGCTGATGATGAATGGCAAGATATAAGACCGAAATATGAGAAGATGGAAGACCATTTTGCGTATGCGCAGGCGGCCACTTCACTTCAACACGTACGCCAGCACTTGGCATCACAACTTAAAGCCTCTTCTACAAATGCTTAGCCATTCGACATACGGTCGGAAACTGCGATAAGCACAGTATGTGCCTCCTAGGGATGAGGAAGTTGGCAAGATAGTTGTCCGCTCACAGGTGAGCCTACTTCAACTGAACACCGCCCCCTTTCCATACTATCCTCCACTTTGGCGCTCGCAATGATGAGTGCCATCACGACGAATACGTGCTGATGACTACTAGATACACCCAGTCTCTATCACTTGAAGGATCCAAACTCTTCACCGTTCAAGAGATCGCAACATGGTTCATTTGCGACTCATCAATCCATGGTATGTAGAATGCATCTTGTGGTGTCCTTGGCACGAATAAGAAAATGAACTACAACAGCCCAAAGGACTTAAAGATCCGGGGACTCGAGATCCTGTACCAGAGATCGACGTCTCGGTATGTCATTCACTCACTTTAGATATATGGGGCTCAATACTGACAATCATAGCAACGCGACTTTGTTTCATCGGAAATGGTCTCCTAAGCACGGGGTTCGACTACGACCCGATGGCCGTCGACGCTGCAGATGGCAACCGGTGAAGTGGGCACCAAGTTCGGCCACAATGGTTCATGAGATATGCTTAGGGGCAGCATTCAGTTCGGTTCTAAAAAGGCCACGGAATCGGACAGTTCGGGTGACGAATAATTCATCAGTCTTCCCGGTCCCTCCTGACTCTGGACTCGTGAAAGCCTCAACCGCATCGAGCAGCTTGGAAAGGCAATGGATGGCAAAGGCAAGGATCTTGCGGTCTTGTTCTCTATACTTACGGGAAAGACAACACCACCTCGCCTATATCGAAGAGGGGAGATGCCTTGGAATCGACGATAGATTCGCCATCTCATCCGCCGATAGGATTTATCTTCTCTATCCTTCAAATCTGGCGGCACAGGTGTAGACTCTGGGCCAGGAGAAGATAAGAATTAGGTAAAGTCATCATAAGCCTGCCTAAGTTTATCCTAAGCTTAGGGAGGATTGCCCTAAATTTTTCTAAGTTATCCTAAACTTGTCAAAAAGAATCCCAAGGTTCCTTGAGTTATCATATTCACAATCTAGCCGGGATTCTCATATCCTCGCCTTCGTCGCTTACACTCTATCGACTTCATCGACGTTTATGGCCAATACAAACAGATCTTCATACAATGGTAATTACTTATCCTTGCATCTTCAATTCGGTCGCTGACTTGTCTTCCTCCAGCGCAATGATCTATGGTGTGTATCTACACCTGAGCATGCCACAAACCCTTATCACTACATGCACTGCACTTAATCGTCTGGTACACACCGAGTTCGGAGCGCACATATAATACAGAGTCCAACGCCCTAACGGACGTCAGTGGGTTCGTGTACCGGCTCTCGTTGAAGCGACTGCACACATTGTCGAGTGGCAAGCAGTTAAAACACACCCAGGCCTCTTGTGGGTTCCTCTAGCTGGTTGGGAAGCGGTTTATCAAATACCTCCACTACAGCACGGCCAATACATGTCGAAAAAGACCACGGAGTCGGCGTAGTCATCGATGTGCTCAGTGGCGAAGACGAGGCACAAGGGGACATAGATCGAACGCTCCTCTCAGAGCGTGACCAGAATCCTCATCGCCTCGCGGATTCACTAATGTTTACAACTCAGCTGTGGGCTAACGAGGCTCTACCCGACACCAACCCTTTGGCACTGCGCGCGGAACCCGAGGAGGCCAGGCGAGGCCAGTCTCCTGGGGCGGATTCAACAGGTTCAAGCATAACTTTCCTGCCTTCCTCTCCGCGACAGGTCACAGGAGGCGTCAATTGCTTTCCAATCCCAGAGCTGGAAAGAAACACTCACATCTGGCATACAGCCTACAGCGACGCCCTGGCTGCTTATCTCCAGAAGTATCCAGTATCTTTCGCTTGAGCCTGGTAGAGCACAACACATCGAACCAAACACTCAGTCTATTCTCTGAAAGCGGAGAGATCTCCCTTCCCGACAACATGACGAAGCATATCATCCGACTGCAGGGGCCGGAGGGCAGATACCGTGAGACCATTGAGGCTGGCTCCTCACCAGGTCGGGAATACTCCTTATCCGACATGATGTATGACGAGCGATGGTTGATGGAAGCGCCGCCGCGTTCACAGGAGAGTTCATTGTCAGAGCAGGATGACTCCACTTCCTCCTCGACGTCAGTATACAAATTGAGTCAATATCGAGACTACGAAGGAAAGGGGATCAGCGTTTACATCACTGGGGAACAGGCAGAAGCCCTCTGGCACCCTCAACAATGCCAAGCTCCCAACGACAGCCAAGCCGAGGATTATGTTGATGGATGGAGGAAATCAGCTGCGCCTATCGTGATCTTCCAAGTACTGCCAAGAGCTTCTATTGCAACAAGCTGCTTGACAAAATATGCCTTGAGGAACGCAGCGGCTGAGAGGCTATTAAGGCCATCGACAGACAGTGACGGGATTGAGAATGTCTATGCGGTGGTAGTGGGAACATCTGCCACTGATTTGCATCCCGTTGTAATGGTACGACCAGAATCAGCCCCGACGCAAACAGACGATGACAACGTGGACTCCATGCAACGGCAGACCATAATGAAAAGGCCATTTTGACGTCAAGTTATCTGGTCAGAGACCATGATGATTCCCGGCAACCTGGAGTTCACCAAGGGTCTGTCCGATCGACTGACACGCGAAGACAAGATCTATTTCATAAACAGGGTCATTCGCGGACACGAAGCGCTTCTTGCTCATGATATCTCGCATAAGAAGCTGACACACGCAAGCCTTATTTCCCCGAAATTCACGGTGGTCACCATTACGCCCCTCTTCATTTTCAATTGGGCGACCACCGCAAGTTCCTCCACAATGCAGTGCTCATCTTGTCCCAGGCTCGATGCCCGGCACAGAGATGGTTTTCTCTCTGAACTCATATGTAGCTGGCAGAGCTGACGGCTGACAACTTCGCTTTCTGCCTTCTCCTTGGGGTATGGAAGGATATTCGAAATGAGACTTTGGGCTCGGACTGGAGAGAAGAGGAGGTTGAAGCACACGGTGTATATACTTATTTGTCCTCGCTTACTGTTTGCATTCCATCTGCCTTGCGTCTCATGTCGCTCCTGTGATATCTGTATATAACGCATTTCAACCAAACTATCCCCACGAATCTCGAAGTCCCGTTACCATTAGTGGGGCGATCTAGACACTAAGCAGCTATCTTGGGTTCTGGCTGCAAGAGCAGATGGCTCGCTAACGCGGAGGAACACAGGAGGAATCCAATACTGCTCCCCATCCACGATATGCTCCCACGCATTGAATCTCGCGTAAGGCCTTGCCCCAGGCTTGCAAGAGAAGAGTTAGAAACAAGCAAGGAAGATTGTAGATGCTCTGGAGTCGGTGATGGAAAACAGGAGTCGAGCCGTAGTTCGTGTTGAAAGAAAGACCCTCGATTCCTTCAAACATGCGAACGCAGAATTACCGGAAGGCAGGGCTCCCAAGTAGTTCATGGGTGTTCTCAAGGGTTGTGTTTTCAAGGACTTAATACACGCCAGCATGAGTGAAACGGCACAGCGCTCCGTGCATGGCATCCCACTGTGAGGCAGAGATCTCAGTAATGGGCACCCTAAGTTCATCCTAAATGTATCTCAGTTATCCTAAGATTAGCCAAGTTATTATAAACTTATCACCATGGTCTTTTGCTTTCTGGCACTCAGAAAAAAAGTCTTGAGCTTTCCTCCACATCTTGCCGTATCAATGTTCAAGATAAAAGGCCTATGAGATGACAGATGAGGCGAAGTATAGCAATTGAAACAGCTCAAATTCAAGCAAGAGAGTAATATTACCCTAATTTTATATTCGGAATGACCTCAATGATCCTCATCGATGCTGAGCCGAAGCTGACGTCGGTCTCCTCGCGGGAGCATGAGCTGGTGCTCAAGGGACAATTGGAATATGCAGGGGGGAACCCTAGATACTACAGATCCTCCCTGTTGATGAAACCGTCTCCCAGCACTCGTTTCCTTGATATAAGTGCTGCCTGGTGGGAAGAATGCACGTCTCATCGAGCTGGGGAAGATGGCCCATCATGTCGACGACCAGAGACTTGATGAAATTGATCTGCGGGTCCCCGTAATCGTTAAGGAAGACGTCGCTGATGTTGTCGTAGTCTTCGTCTCGATAGATAACGGTGCGACCAAATCCCGACGTGAAAGAAAATGCAAAGCGTCGGAGATGGCGCAAGTCAGATTTCACCATCCGCGCAAGAGTGAGTATAGCATTATCCTGCAAAGTTTCAGTTATTAGTATCGATCTTGACGTTCAAAAGATCCGTCCAGGGGTTCGGGTTACCTACGAGATAATATAGCCCATCTTAGTCGCTACATACTCCATTCTGGACAACGCTGTTATGCTTGATTCTGTTGACAAGAACCAACTGCTGTAAGAAGCAGAACACATAACGACAGATGTCGAACACCTCGATTCTAGGTATGAGATGCCCCGTTAATGAAACTTCGCCCTTCATTACCAGCATATAAAGCTGGCATTTGGCTCTGAGTTTCAGAAAGAGAGGCCAAGAAGTTGGCGATGCCAGGGTAGTGATCGAAGTCGACACATCGAGCTTGCGAGGGACCACACATCTTCATGAGGGTTAATAGAAGCCCCTTGCGGGATCCCAAATCGTGGCTACTACCGATGAGGCGGACATCGCGGAGGTTTGTTTCTACCAAGTCCTGCCTCAACAACTGAGCCAGGTCTGCGTATTTCGATTGGGAATTGCCATTGGCCTTCTACTCGATATATATCCCAACGAGCCCTGTGGGTTCTTTGATGGCTTGTGCGATTCGTGGGAAGCAGCGGACGTCATCGAAACCCTGCCGCTGGTCGCGAGCAGTTCGGGGGTCAAGGACTGGTACAGCTTCAACTTGAATTTCAAGGACCCTGCGAGCGTTACAAGATTATGATGTTGCTGAAGTTTGACTTTGAAGCATACTTAATCGCTGACCTGGGGAGAAACACACCAGGATGTTCCTGTTGATCAAGGAACTTCCCGAGTCTCTCGGGGACGTGGGACATGGTGCCACACAGGCGAGTGATCTGAAAGAATTCATTCCCATACATACGTCTAGGGGAGGAGCTCACTTGGGTGAGTTTCTAGAGATCCTGTCTTTCGAGCGTGTTTGCCATGGGTCTTGCCGGCAAAAGGCGCAGAAGGTTCTCCATTTCGTTGATACTCTGATCGTAAGAGCGGTTTTAGTAAAATAAAGCATAGATGAGACTATAGAGGCAGAAAGAAGTGTTCGGTTGTAAAAATAATCGCTTGTCGAGGTTCAAAGTCTGCGGAGGTTCACGATGATGTGTGCAGGATGAAGGAGAGAAAGAAGATCAACAAGGGGTGGCTGTAAGAGAATAAACAGCTACCTAAGGCAACTGGCAAATATGTCAAAAGGAAACGGATAAATGTGAATCAACACCTTAGATAGGTAGTGGTAAAAAATGCTAGCCAGTGGCAGTGAAATGACAGTGAATCAGTGACCCAAGGTGTGCACATTACCTTACGCTACGCATTCTGACTTCTACCTCACTTATTTCTCTCTCCCACACATCTTTCTCTCTCCTGTGTATCCTAACCTAAGAAGAAACTTCCACAACCGCAAGATTGTTGAACATTATTATCGTAGTAGTTTCTATTGCCGACACCCAACGCGTACATCAAACAACACCAACCTCTCAGTGAACAAACAGTAAGTATTACCATGTCCATCTTCTCTTGATTCCGTTCCTCACAGAGAGAACAAGGTCAGAATGAAGTGCAAGCTCCTGAAGGCCGAAGTCCACAAGCTACAGGATGGATCACCCGGCAACGACAAGGAGGCCATCCTCAAGAAGCTCCTTACACTCGAGGTCGCCGATGTCCAACGTCTCTCTAAAATGCCCGACTTCAAAAGTCTCTACAACAGCTGAATCAAGGATAAACAACCTTACCTCGAGCCTGATTAAGTGATTCTGGGTCACCTCGAGATGATGCTCTGCGTGCAATCTGAGAATCCGTATCAGGCTGTCTACAGTCCAGCTTTCCGCTGCAACTCGACCAAGTATCTTGGTGTGACCTTCAAAGTCTGCGATAAAGACAAGCTTCCCCATGAGCCTGGCTTTTTGGCCTAATGATATCAACAACGCCGCGATGGATGACGCCCCGTCTGATATCAAGGCCAGCGAAACCAAGTTTCTCCAGCAAAACGACGGAGACAGTGATAGTGACAGTGTCGACGAGGATGGTGACAACGATTCTAGACCTTTGGCACACTGTTGAAGGATTCGAAGAGCTTGAACACCGTTGGAAGCGGTTCTCGTCGACTATTCTCCACAATGCTGTGCTCTGGGGCGACTACACCCGACAGCCGTATCTTGCAATCATGAACGCACAGGCCGAGGCTTATTTCCCTGACATCCTCCACCTATACAGTCACTTGGTTCCCCGAGACCTCATCAACGACGACCAGGACGTCAATGCTGGCTCAGAAGAAAGTGGAGAGGATGCTGAATCTGTCAATGACGGGAGTCCTGGAGTCCGCTCATGAACGTGGGCTCGGGCGACGACGGCAGTGACGATGAGTCTGTCTGCTTGTCGGTCATTGAGGGAGGTTATGGGCATTGATTCCAGCCTGGATGACAGTGACTATGAGCCGTGAGCTCTAGACTAGTAGATCATCAGTTTCCATGGGCAAGGCACACAACGAGGCCATCCTTGACAAGCTCCTTTCACTCGAGGTCGCCGATGGCCAACGTCTCTCTTAGATGCCCGAATTCAGAAGTATCTGCAAACGCCGAATGAACCTAATCTGGATTCCCCCAAAGAGGGCGAAACGGAGTACTGCCCTTGCGTCGGTGCACGCACTATGGAGGCTGCCCAACAGCATATCATCACTTAGGCCACTTCCGCTCTTGAAGCGGTTCATGCCTGCCAAAGCTTCCGCAATGAGTTCGAGGATGGAACCGACTCCAACTGAGCCGAGGAGATGGCAGATGGAGAGGATGACGACTGAGTGTTGAAATGAACTGCCGTGGGCAAGGCTATGAATTCTCTCGCGGACCAATATCGGGGCTGATGGCAACAAAGTTAGACTATATTCATGACAACCCGCCAAGTGAATTCGATTCGTATCAGCATGGAACGCCTATTTGAATCGCTTTGTATCAAGAAAGGCACAGTCTCACTTTGGAAGCACAAATCATCATCACTGCATCGTGTACTGAAGATGTATGGGCCGTTAATCCAGGTGCCAAGCTACCCGACCTAAATATCTACTAACATATACTAAACTTACCTAAGTCTCCTCATCCCTTAGGATAGAAATCCTAAGTTCTTGTCTCCCAAGGTAGGCCCAACCACATGCAATCTGATTACAACGTATTAAGACCTCTTAAACGGCCATCAGGCAAAGTGCCACTCAATACTTGGGCAACGTCCAGCCGCCACAATCTCAACATCTCAAACAACAGCGGCTCAAGTGCTGGCCATAGCACTGATATAAGCGCCAAGACGCCCTGGCAGTAAGGAAACCCGACCTTGACCAGATGCCGATTTACTGGTCTAAATACCTTCTAAGATAGACTAAACTTATTTTCATCACTTAGGATAGAGATCTTAAGTGTAAGTAAACTACTTTCAGCTTTACCACATTCGTGAGCATATTGCATTGCTTTGACACGATGAAGAAATACGGCCTCTGATATATGCGACATGCTCTAGGGAATTGCAGGACTTAAGAACTACCAACACCCCAAAGAACATGTGATTAAACATGCTGTGATGTTGAAGTATAGGTTAAGCCAAGACGTTACGGATGTTTCAAGATGGGAGTAGAATTGAGACAGTAATCACGTGCAAGTTCATGCAAATGGAACAAGGGTCCTGGATGATTCCAAAACATCCATGCATATCAGATCGAGGCACCACACTACGCCGCAGATGCTTACGTCCGACCTGAGCTCCGAACTTGCTAACTTTTAGCTGGATCGTTACACAGCTTCAAAGTGTGATTGGCTACAATCGGGCAATTGTTTCTTAAATATTTTCGCATCCGGAGACCTGTTTCTGGCCGCCGTTGAGATACAAAAATATCGTAGAAATTCCAGCGATTGATAACTGGACTTGACCTATTGGGACGAATAATCTCCATTGATTGGTCGAAAGTGAGGTGAGTGCGCCGTGTGGCAAACTCCGAATCTTGGTCTAAATTCGGGGGCGGGGAGAATTTCGACAGGACCGCGTGGTTGTGGCTCGGGGATAAGGCAATGGCTGCAGCAGAGTCGGAGACAATTAACTATGAGGTCATGAGGCTTGTCAGTTGAACCATAACCAAGGTCATGGTCTCGAGTCACTTCTGCATTGTAATTGAGACAGATAGCACGGTCAGCCATTACAGCAAGTGAACGGCATTCTGTCGCAGTCGGAGGAGCATAATGCCGTCCGTTCAGGAGGAATCGCCACTGTCTAACAAGACAAGGCCGGGAAAGGGGGAGAACACTCGAGAGACTCGTGCACAACGTCGAAGGGCGTGCATGTCAAATAATAATATCTGCCGAAAACGTCCGGGTATAAGTCGCTAGGTCGGTCACAGGCAGCATGCCAATGGATGAAAGCTCATGGCCAAACGGCTTTTTTATTGTGAGTCAGAGCCTCAGACGATAGGAAAGAGAGAAGAGACGGACGGACAATAACATGCTCATGGCTCGTTTTGGCATGGCCTCGATGGGCTTTTTGTTTCGTCTCCTCTGTTGTAAGATATCCATGGGTCCCGAGGACCGGTAGCCCCGGCTGACAAATGCAACTTTGACGCTATTCGCACTGTCGAGAGTTCACGTTCCTGTACCCAGCCTCTCTCGGAAACTCGCTGACCCCCACCCAGAATGGTTCCTGTTCAGGGTCTAGTGAGCTGATGGAAGAATCAACTAGAAGGAATCTTTGTGACTCAGGCAGCAAATTTTCTAGTCGGGCGCTCCGCATTGGACCCTTGCTTGGCCTTGCCTGCTTGTCTGCTTGCCCTTTGCTTGCCCTGCTAGGCTCTGGGTACGCGTAGATACAGTACCTACAGTGCGATTCAACTCCAACGCCCGCTCAGCTGCCCCCGCTCGACCTACTACTGCAGCCATCCATCTCACTCGATTTCCCCTCCTCGCCCATTCTTGGCTCCGCCTGACACCAGAAACCACCGATTTCATCATCAATCTTACATACTGTTACCTTACATACCATAGTAGCTTCAATTTCTATCCTGTCCTTTGCGGCCTGAATCCGAAAACCTCGTTCTTCCCATCATTCAACTTTGCCTCACTTCTCACTGCCGCTTGACAATTAGTTATATGCCAGTATCATAACCCAGCCAGCAGAAGTACCGCCCCGCTCGTCTAGGTCCCCGACGTCGCCGCTTCAGGCACCTACAGACAGCCTCTGGTCTGGCTCTTTGTCCCCTCCTGCGTGAGCCTGGACTGGCAGAGAGCTTGAATCTATATTCAACCCGCGCGGCATCAGTTTCGTCTGCTTCGATTTCAAATCGTTTCTCACCGCTACGCCTCTTTTCGATTGCCCGTTTCATATTTCGCGATGGCTTCTACCGGTACTGGAGGCACTTTGCCACCCAACTTTCTCTTGACCCCGCAACAGCAGAACCTGCTCTTCGCTGCTCTCAACTCCAACAAGCAGCAGCTCTCTGGTTCTCCCGTGGACAATTCTCTCACAGTTTCTCCCACGACGTTCCGCAATTCTGCTGGCCAGCAAAAGTCTGCCACCGCTACAGGTTACCAGGAGAGTCCCTTCCTCGACAACTACGACTATGACTTTGGCGATTCTGGCTTCGACTTCTCATTCGCCAGCGAGGACCAGCCTTCCATGATTGGAGACCTTCCCGCTGCTTCCACGGAGCCCAACAATAACTCTGGTTCTGTCGCTCTGTCTGACTCCCCAGAGACTGATACGCCAGAGAAGCGCAGCTACCCCGACGACGAGGATGACGAAGATAGCCCTGGTGGAGATCACAAGCGCCGTGAGAGTACCGACAAGGTCCCTAAGAAGCCCGGTCGTAAGCCTCTTACATCCGAGCCCAGCTCGGTACGTCTTATCAATTGATTACATATAAAGCGTATCACTTACTAATCCATATAATAGAAGCGCAAGGCTCAAAACCGAGCTGCTCAGCGTGCTTTCAGAGAACGCAAGGAGAAGCACCTGAAGGATCTTGAGACAAAGGTTGAAGAGCTAGAGAAGGCCTCACAGGCTGCCAACCATGAGAATGGCATGCTTCGGGCACAGGTTGAGCGCATGACAGCTGAGCTCAACCAGTATAAGCAAAAGGTCACAGTGATGTCAGCTACCAAGTTACTGCCAAGGGAAAAGGTTCCTTTCGGCAGCGCTGCCGTCAGCAACCTCGGCGATGTTAACTTCCAGTTCGAGTTTCCCAAGTTTGGCATGCTTCCAGGGCCACCTGTCAGTAAGACTGGCTCATCGCCTACAAGCCCGAATCAGCAAAAGATCACATACCCAAGCCCAACTGCCAACAGCGTCAACAACAGCGCGCAAACCGCTCAACAATTCAAGGATGACTTGGCCAAGTTCTCGGGTGTCTTCAGCCCTTCCATGGCAAGCTCTGCGACCAACCCCTCTCGTGCGAGCGTCGACTCCGCAAACTACAGCGTCAATGGCGCTTCCAGCTCTCCATCTGCTTCATCTCATTCAAACACTGGCCCCAGCTCTTCTTGCGGAACATCGCCTGAGCCTTTCAACCAGTCTCCCATGGGCTTCAAGCCCGTTGATACGATGACTACCATTGGCGAGGAGCAGACTCACCAGAACAACAACAATAACAACCCCAGCCAGTTCGGCAACATCGATCTCAACAGCACTAACTTCGACTGGCTGTCACAACAAAACGGTGGACAGTTTGACCCACAGCTCTTTGGTGATTATCGCGAGCCTCAAGAAAACGTCTTGGCAAACCCATCTTTCGACGACTTCTTCAATGATGCTCTTGAAAGCGATTTCTTTACTCCTTACAACATGGCTCCCAACAGCCCCAGCGCTCATCTCAATGGCCAGGCCAAGAAGCCATCGAACCTGATTGATCAGATTGATGCTCAAAAGGAGTCCGATGACGAACCTCTTAAGAAGCAGAACATGAACTGCAATCAACTGTGGTATGTATCAACCTTTGGAATCAGGAATGGTCTGTCTCTAACACGTTTCTACAGGGAGAAACTCCAAGCTTGCCCCAAGGCACAGAATGGTGAATTTGACCTGGACGGCCTCTGCTCCGAACTTACCAAGAAGGCCAAGTGCTCTGGCACTGGTCCTGTGGTTGCTGAGACCGACTTTGACACCATTCTGCAAAAATATATGGGTAAAGACGTCTCCAGTAGTTGTGTCGCCCAACAGTTGGGTGTGGAAATAAAGTCGAGTGACCCAAACCAAGATAAGCATATTGGTCTGCCAATTTGAGACCAGGTTTATTATGAACAAAGATTCGGCTGTACACTACAAACATCGGCGGCATACCCAGCACACAGCTACAATGATTAAGGCGTT